CGTTTACTGGCCAAAAGTGCAATGATGTCACCGAAAATGTCACATGAGTGCAAAAAAGTACCGCTGCTCTTGGGGAAACCGAATACATTTCTCACATATACCCATATTATCATATACCCGCTCCTCACAACTTCTTCCTCTGCCAATCTACCATTCTTTTATAAAACTCCCTCCCAATACACCTTAAACACAATATCTTATAACTGCTACTCACCCCTCAAAAGTTAGGATTATTCTGATTTTTAACCACTCCAGTCCTCCTGCTTCTTCTCCAGACGCTTCTTCTCTTCCAGCTTTGCCTTCTTACTTTTTTCTTGTGTACCATTTCGCAGTCTACCAATAACATTCCACGAAATCATATATAACTCGAAATGTCTACTATGTCAACTCCAGCTTCATCTTCTAACAATGCTACCGAAGAAAAGCAGGCTCCCACTTTAGCCGAACTGGTTAGAAAGTACAATACAGAAAATCTTATCGAATTTTTGAAGGAACAAGGGGACTTGCAACTTAACGAAACTCATTTCGAAATCTTACGCAATGAGGAGATTGCTGGCCGTGATTTTCTCAAGTTGACTGAGGAAAAACTTCATAGCTACGGAATGAAAGGTGGACCTGCGACGAGACTCGCGGACTTCGCCAAAGAGGTCAAGGAGAAAAAATTGAGGGCGTTTTCATCATACCGTACTCTGAAAGATTTTAAAGAAGTATTGGGGAAGTATAGCATCGACGGCGATAGTATAACGAGTATTCCGCAATTCCAACCAGGTAAGCAATGAGTCAGCATAATATCATTTTACACCGAAGCAAGTCTCATTCCAATATATACTGCTAGAAACCCACACTCTTGATAAAGAAGACAAAGCTTTTCGCCATTGCATCTCGGATATAATAGTAAAACTGATGAACATGGGAACAGTAGCTGACAGCAATGAAGCCATGCGCAGAGAATATATTTCTGCAATCCTTCACGCGTCGGTTCATATAGCAAGAAATGTTACCAGGAAAGAGATAAAAATCCGTCTAGAACAAGAAATCGTAGGTGAAGAATCATCAGGTCGGGCCGACTATGGTATAACAGATATAGAGGATTTATTATGCGTTGCAGAGGGTAAGCAAAATTTGCCAGCCATTGGGTTTGCCCAAAACCTTGTCCAGCTTGAAAGTTCGTGTCAGACAAATCAAAAGAAACGGAAGGCGAGTGATGCATTCGGAAAATCGGACTATGAATATTTATATGGCATCGTTTCAACAGGTAGGCATATTGTCTCGTAAGGCTCGTAAGCGAGCTTTTCTAACTTTTATTTCGTATAATATTAGGCACGGACTGGTACTTCATCTTATACACGACGGAAGGCATCTATTGTACCAGTGAAACCGAATACCATATCCCACTCGCCAAGTCAGCACTCAAAGACGATTTGGATTTGAAAAAGAGCGTAAAAAAAGTAATGGAAACCATTGTAGGTTTGTTGAAGGATAGAGTAACGGTAGAGAAGGCACCTGATGCTAAAAAGCGTCGGGTTGAGGAAAAATATATCCACTGAGACATATGTGGGCATTGGCCCTTTCTGTAATTAATAAAACAATGAATCTTTTCACGCGTTACGCATATCTCTGACCCGGGAACGTCAATCGTGTTATTGTGTGATCCATTACCAGTATATTGATCATCCACTGCATACAAAAAATAACTGATTCAACTTTAATAAAAATTTTCTTGGTAAAATCATGTGACCGCGCGACCGAAAGTCACGCACTAGTATATATTTCTCAACTTTTTGAACATATCTGTGTCTTATATAAAACAATGGCAAATACACAATCCAAAATCGATTTACTGGAAGAACAGAATTCCAAGCTTGTTGCCAAGATTACTGAACTTAAAAGGGAGAAGGCTGAATTCTTAGCTAAGGAAGCGGGTTTATGGTTAGAATCATGGAACTAGAACTCAGTACTAGAATCGTGTCAGCAAAAGAAAGTGAAAAACGATTTGTGAAATTGGAACAGAAGCAGTTGCAAAATGATAAAGAGAAGAGTAACTATATTGTCTCGATGCTAGCACAACTAAATCAAGGAAATCAAACAGGTAAGTACACTCATTTCACAAGGACAATATTCGATTAATACCAATGATTCTTGCAAAATGAATTCTGATAATACCTCTGAAAAGATAGTCTCACAAAATGATAATACTCCAGCTTCTGATATATCTGATAAAGCTTTAAATTCTGATATGACTCAAGAGACAAAGACTCAGCTGGAGGTTGACTCTTGCCAATGCTCCATATTGCCTACTTGCATGCATGGAACCTAAATCATCAGAGGATAAGGAAATGGATGATATTTTGCATCAGATATACAATGAACGAATTAGTAATGAGATTAGAGAGATAAATCGAGAAAAAAAGTTATTACAGAGTGATGAAGCTTCCAATTCTCAGAACTCTGGCTTATCTTCAGATATTTCTTCTGAAATAAAGATAAAGATGAAAACACCTGAAATAGATATACAGCCTTTGGTACAGGAATTATTTCTAGAACTTTCAGAGTAAGGTATTATTATTGATCACTCACCTGCAATTAAATTAGTTCATCTATTTGAAAAAACATGTTTGGCAGAAAAAAAATACTATATGAGCTAAGCTGGAAGAAATTATGAGCTGGTATCAATATAGAAAGTATTGGGAAAAAAGGCTCAATGATATATTACCTGAAAACCAAAGAAATGATAAGAGAGCCTATGATTTAGCAAGTGGGCAGATTTATGATGAAATGCTACAGTATCCTTCAGATATTTCTCGTGTAAGTTTGCATAAAAGAACTCAAAGAACCAAACCTATATACAAATTATTTAGCATAGTTGGAGAAGATAAAATTAAGCGAATTAAAACTTATAGTGCAAATAAACTCTTGAAGTTAACTGATGTGCAATTAAGAAGCATTTCATTGCTATACCGTGTGACCAAAAGTCATGCACTCATATGACTGAGGTAAGTATTTCACCTAATAATATATTGCCAGAAAATAAGATTCATGACCATGCTTACTTTCGTAATATGACATTGCTGCGATATTCTGATCTATATAAAGTATTTATTTCTGAAAAATTTGATCGTTATGGGATTATTGAGGGTTCATTATGCCCAGTATGTAAACTAGATCATGAAGACGGGAAAAGTGTAAAAGGTAAATACAAAGCTGGATCCTATTTTATTATATGTGGAAAGCGTGAAATCGAAATAACAGCATAAATTGTAAAGCCATCCAGGTATAGCCAGCCTTCGGTAATCATTAATTAACGATATTTTTTTTTAATTGCTATTTCGGGATATGCAGTGTTTAAGTGAGACAAAGACACTTAATTTGAATTTGCGGACGTATAAAACAATAATATGGATAAAGCCTATTTCAGAGAAATGACACTTTGTGCCTTAACCCCTGAATATTTGGACTGGTATGCTAAATTGGTTGAAGTACCAAGTTTTTTGACTGATAAAATTCGTTTGATCTTATATAGAGCCCATACGGAAGAGACTGGGCTCGATCCCTGGGTAAAGCCTGAATCTTCACGAATCGAAAAGGATACTGATGATCATATCTTACAGGACAGTTTACCGGAAACTCAGATAGTAGCGCCAAACAAAATTTACACCTCCTCAATTTCCAAGATTGATCCAAACAAAAATCGCCTTTATCAGTATGCCATCGAACATGGAATAAATCCCAAAGAATTTTCGATTATTACAGAGGCTGAGAAAAATAGGTGGACCATGGAATGTTTTCGTGAGGATTTGGAGAGAGATGTACGTTTCTATCATGGTGGAATAGAAAGAAAAGAAGACCCTAGAAAATATCGTAAATTTTAACAGATCGGGAGAGGCTGGTCGGTGAAGAGTTATTACGTCAAGCTATACTAAAAAGTGGTTTGAGTACTGCATGGCTCGATGATCTTATGGAAAAAATCCATGCTCAATTCACACAGATATCTTTTGAGGAAAAGACTTTATTTGTACTGTGGGTAAATATTCAATCTACACCATCTAAACGACAATTCCCAATTTCTGTTCTACCAAGCAATCCCGAAGAAATGCAACAACACGTTATTAACATGGTAGTAGAGTGATTTCCTTATTTAACTCTGAAACATAGCTTTAAAATAATTACTTTGATTTTAATAGTTCAGTAGCCTGTCCTTTATGTGACAAAGATCATAAAAAAGAAAATATAAGAGATAATGTAAAAGGTGAATGGGGTAGTGGGGATTATGTCAATACAAAAACCTATCGTCTCAAATGCTGGAAAGCTTATCAGAATTCAATTCAAATAGTAACTGTAAAAGCATAGACTACTGATTTCAAATATTAAGGTGTCATTGACCAACTTAACTCGACATAATATAATTTGATAGCATAATCAATTTTTTGTACCGCAAACTTGGCTATATATAAGATCAGATGTGTCAGAGACACTAGCTCCCCTATAAAGCTCGATAATTAACTTTACCTTTTACTTTACGCTTTAGAATGGGGCGTTTCATATGTATAACTTCTATTCCCGAACTGGATGCAGAAGAATTACCTGAATTACTGTCCGAAGTATCTGAATTGGAAGCATCTGTGGAATATTTGACCTTATTTTTCTTACTCTTATTTTTGGTATTCCATGATGACTCTTTTGGTATTTATTATCTTGGGCACCTGAGAGAATTTTCTTGATCATATTCGCGATCTCTTTCTCCGATAAATCGGACTTAAGTTGGTCATTTTTACCAGAGCTGTCTTTATTACTATTTTCTTCGATTAATGGGATACTCATACCATCTATTACAATTTTAGCGTGGCGGACATAGGTTTTGGGAGAACGTTCAAGCTTATTTTTGCTTCGCGCATCCTTGTCCTAACACTAGATCGAACGATGGATTTTTGCGGATTTGAAAATCTATTGCATCGGTACCATCTAAACTTTGCCAATTTATCTCACCTATTATGTCTCCATAGAGACACTCAGCAGGACCACAGCTAGGGTGTATCCCATGGTTCGATTTAAGTTTATTGAACAGCCTCTTGCTAATAGTATTAAACTTTGAGGATGTATCTATTAATGCTTTGACTGGAATTTTTCCTTCTACAAGAGTTTCTATGCGCATTAGTAAAATAATTATACTATAGCAGAAAAATAACTAATAACTTTATAAATAATTACCCATTCTCCACTACTAAATAAAATTATTTGTAAACCATGATGAATGATTAGGAATAATCCCGCCAATCTCTCTGATACAATTACTGAATGCAGAAATAAGATCTGTTTCATCTAATAATGTACCGGTAAACATTGGAATATGTAGATGTGGATGAGAACTGGACCATTTATCATCTGGATAATCAGGATATTCGATTTTAATTTTAGGATTAAGTTTTTTCATCACTTCTTCACTAATCCCTTTACATCCCTCCAAACCAAATTAGTACAGTTGCATGATATCTTCTCGACAGCTTTATTACTAATCGAACAATCACCAAGCTCAAGATGTCTAAGTTTTGGACAAGAACGCGTTATTTCAGTAATACATCGATCTGTGAGACATATACATGAATTAAGACTTAGATGCTGTAATTTCGGAGAAAATTTCGCAATTTCTATAATTGGTATATTAGTGAAACCCTTACTTTTATCAAGAATGAGAAAGCATATATTCAGACATGAATGCAAAATTGCACTGATCAATGCATTTGAGATTTTTAAACCTAACCTGAGATATACCATCTTTGAACAATAGAGTGGCTTTATTTTTCTATGCATAACTCTTTTAAAGTTTATCAATCGCCGAGTAAGAACCCGAGACATATTTAAGGCACGCCGACTCTGTTGATAATCTTTGTTGATAAACTCAACGCGACACCATAAAATAGGAGCACCGCAGTGATACCACAAGTGGTTGACAAACAAAGCGGGATAGAGGGATCGATCAATTTCTAAATAATATAAAATCTGTTCTAGTAATTCCGGTAAATCAAAAATATTTAGACCCTTTGGGTTATGATTCTTTGAAGAGGCAAAGCCTCGAATCTCCGATTCATCGCCTAACGGCCTGCTCCGCAATAGTTGCGCCATTCTCAAAAATGTATATTATATATCTTTAATCGAAAAAAAAACAGATAATGTTCGGATAATTAATCTAGACGCATATATTATTTATTTTCCTGATATTCTCAATCACGCTTAACTTTGCAACCAGTTCATCTAATGACAGGTCTGTTTCACATCTTCTGGCTTCTAACTGGTTATCACGAGACAATCCACTGTTCCTTAAGGTATATTTCGTTATTATTTACTCCCAATGCTATTATGATGGAGCTTATTCAAATTTTGATAATATCGATCTTTGGCTTGCTTCATAAATGATCCACCAGGTCTATAAAGCCATTCAATTACTGCATGTTGGATTATTTTAGCTGAATTATTTTGTTTTTTCCATAAACGATATGTCTTCTGGATAATTAATGATGCACGATTTTTTTTATACAATGCTAGTTATTATTCAAAAAAAAAGAAAAAATTTAAAGTTATAACAATAAAATCACAACTATTGATTTTTTAAAACAAAAACAAAACAAAACAGAAATTTACCAGTAATGTCATCTTCACTGTCGGAAAAGTTTCTGCAAATTGTTCACAAGTTTTCCTAACATCTGCAAAGTATTTTTTTTTGATAAAACTTCAAGATTACATTAATATATTTTACCTTCCATCTGGTCTGAACCATCATTTGATATAGTGATGTTTTCTTCACCATCAGAAAAAAAATTGCGATAGATTTCGCTGATATCTGTAAAATATTTTTTAGTGTGACTGAATAATAATAATTTCAAAATCACGATACAGAGACACCTCTGTAAGTGCACCCTCCATAAGCGCACCCACGCGACATTTAAAAAAGGTCAGCCAATTAATTGCCGTAATTTCAATGCAATAAATAGTGACATTAGTTTACTTATTAGTACTAGTACTGTAAATACATTGACATAAGATATTTATTAAAATAGTAAAAATTTTGACCCCATTTTCCAAATTAAGCGATCGTAAATAGTTGCTAAAGAGAATATTATTTATGAAGTTTCCAACAACGACCACGAATTTGTATATCTCTTTAATGATACTGATCAAGCAATTACGGATGTAGACGACATAAATGATAGTGAGAAAAGTCTTGTTATTAGCACTAGCACACCAATCGCTAGCTTGGAAATAGTACGTGCCTTTCTTTTACAACAGGACAATGCGGAAAAATATATCACCTCTTACAAAATATTGAGAAGTTTGTTGAAGTCAGGAAAACAAGCTCAATGCGTCCAACACGTATTTTTCTTAAAGTATAGTCTAACTTCGATGTGCAGTATAATTTTGATAATAAGATAATAAAGAGAAAGCACTAGCCACTATTATGTGTAACAGTTTTCTGGTTTTCTATTCGTTGTTCTATAAGTGCACTTATAGAGGTGTCTATGTCCGAACCATTATTCGAGGTTGCGGTCGCGTATGTGCTTGATTGTACAGAACCTACAATCCAAGTTTATCAATAAATATTTAAAAAAACGCTATTAACATTTTTAAATACCTACCGAAACTATCGATACTGCTAGAATCATTTATAGTAACTGTATCGACAGAAAAAGTGTTTGGATTTATTTCTACATTCTCTATGTTAATATAAGCAATTACGTATTAATGTCTCATCAACGCTGTATGGCGGAAATTAGCAAATCATTTTTCCGACTATTCAAACATATTATTTTACATAAAGAACAGACATTAATAGCATACATTCATTTTCCTCAATTTCTTCATCCGATTTCGACAGCATCCGCATCCACTTCTTCGAATAATCCGTTCACCAAAACTTTGTCTGAGTGGCGAAACTGCAAATACCAATTCGTATTGGCTTATTTTTGTGGTTCTGCACACTTCACAATTCATCGTATACACAATGCGACCCAGAACACTTGTCCAATCTGTCCGTCGATCTATCTCCATCCATCTGCCAATTTTTTTCTTTAATATGGCATTTCCCCTTTCAATTAAACCTTGTGATTGAGGATAATGTGGTCGGCCGTGGATGATTTTCAAGTTAGGCCACAAATCTCCAAGTTTTTTCATTATACCGGTAAACTTCCTTCCGTTATCGCACTGGAGTATTGTTGGTGGACCGAACATTAAAAAAAAGTCATAAATAAAGTTGGACACATTCTCTGCTGTTTTCTGCTTTATAGCCGTTGCCCAACTGAATTTGGTAAAGTGATCTCTCATGTGAACGATATAACGGTAGCCGTTATCCTGTGCTTATGCCATGTCAACTAAGTCAACCTGTAAATTAACAAAAATTATAACAATTATTGGCTTTAAGAATGTTATAAAAACCCAAATACAACTATTTACCTGTACGCGTTGAAGAAATCTTTTAGCCATTATAGGTTCCCTTCCGGAATTCGTCGGACAATTCCGCTCGCACAACAAACGGAGCAAGCTTTACATGCTGCGTTACTTATTGATTGTGGAATAAAGCAATACTGTTCGTTGATGAATGCCATGTTGAATTTTGACCACGATGTCCCTCTCCTATGTATACGACAAAATATGGTGTACATCTCTTCCTTTGTGCAGACAGGAACTTCGACTTTTTGATGTTTTCTGCTTAGTTGTTTATATAAAAACTTTCTACCGTTAATATTTTTGACAATAAACTGTCGCGCCCATCTACGTAAGTTGCGGCTAGCAAATATGATGAAAATCTAATTGTATTTACCGGTAAAATAAGCCTGTCTCATCCATATTGAATATATCTTTCAAATCATAACTTTTCAGTATCTCCTTTAATTCAGGGATAGTTTTAACAATTGCAGCATTATCTGCTGACGCAGCTTCTCCATGTTTTTTGACTTGGTTAAGTCCATGTCTCTTTTTAAACTTGGACAACCAACCAGAAGAAAACTTGGAATCGTCGTCGGGTACGTGTATATTGAAAAGTCTTTGGCTTTTTGCATCAAGATCGCATCAGCTTTGGCCTGCATATGTATAACCCATTCATATAGTGTAAGTTTGGATGCTGAACCGTTCTATGTCTTTTTGCTGAGAGATTACTGATGATGTCTCTTTTCTTTTTAGTAAACGAGAAACTGTACTTGGATGTATACAATTAGTTTTGGTATCCAATTGACAAGGTCGATATTACTATAGCGTATTAGTATGGGTTTTGGTCTTTATATGTAATAACGGCTGCTCTTTGTTCATCATTCAATGTAGTTTTTGCGCTTTTGGAGGCTGAAGACATGATTTCATTTAAATTTCAATGAAACACAATTCTTAGTTGGCAATTAGAGATATTGGAAATTATAATAAAGGGGTGTGCACAGCTTAGTGCAGTGTAAGCTTGGCCAGTAGCGAAAAACTGTTTATCCAAATGTAGAGAGATGTATGGCAATGTTAGTCGCGAAACAATCTTGTAAAGGAATTTTATGCCATCAACGTGTATTAAAGATCTATTACAAAAAAGGTAATGTGGATTTGGTTAAACTGGTAGTATTTCATGATAACCTATATAATCACCAATGTCTGTTTAGGTGACCTTTTCCCTTGTACCGTTCTTAGTTTGAAAGAGATGATATTATGTGTAGACTACAGATATCTCAAAAATGTATTACGTTTACACATGCACTATTTATGGTAAATTTGGTAACGTTGTCCGATAGATATTTATTAAATCCTCATGCTGCAACATTTTTAATATACAATTCTTGTGAAGCTTGAGTGGAACAGATACGGGCGATCAACCAAATGATAGATGTTATAAGAACACCCACATTAGTTGGTAGAACAATCTCGCAATTCCCAATTTAAGAAGTTTTCTCCGACATACTGCCCTTCTTGTTGCCCAACAAACCAAACCCTGAAGTGACCGCTCTCGCGCCACCACCAACAATTTTAGCTCCACCACCAACAACCCTTGCTCCACCGCCGACGATCGTACTTCCTGCTCCAACAATGCCCTGTCCAGCACTAGAAGCAACATTCACAGCAGCACTACCGGCCGCCGAAAACGTGCCTGAAGTTGCTCGTTTCTTCATTACAAATTCGGGGCGGAAAAGCAAGTGCACGAAAAGCGATCCTTGATTTTCAGCAAGGGGTATTTCGCGCTCAACGCCTTCAAATGGGTTCAAATCGCGTAGATCGATTTCTGCGATGCCTAATTTTGTGGCATTGCTGATTGCGTTCCAGTCAAACACCTCAAAGTAGAATTCGGCCGCAGTACGAGATTTCTATTTAAAACAAAAGAGTTCAATTCAAAATGGTGTTCCCTACATTGATGGCAGGGTTAATCTTGTATAAATATATAAGCCTACCACTTGAACTTCGAAACTTTCGTCGAAAACCGGATTTAAATCTTTCTTTACAGTTTTGGTCTTGTGCACTTGTTTGCCGTTGAGTACGAATACTACGTAAGGATCACTTGTTCCTAAATTCGCAAAATAGTATTATTGAATAAATGAATCCACAATAAATCTAGGGCTATTAAACAGACTTGTTCTTCTACTCACCGGATCGGTCTGCCGCAGGCAAGTTCTTTCCTTTGATGACAGTTACTTGTATCTTTCCTTGATCTATGAATTAAAAAACGTTGAATAATCGACGTTCATGTTTCTTACATTTTTAATTCTACTCCATGATCCTGATTGAAGTTATATTTTCCACCATCAATTCCACTACTTACTGTTGACGCTTTCTGATGCCTCAATTGGTACTGTAGTTGGGATAAATTTTGCATAAATGTTAATTTTGGCTCCAGCGATGCCGGGTACTGTAAACCAAAGACCCTCTTCATCTTTTGACAATTCGTTCCGCATCTTCTCTATTAGCATCTTAACGCCAATGTCAAGAACGTCGACAGGGGTTGACGAGCCGGTTTGATAAATTTCCAAAGCAAGTTGAGAGAAGTCGAGTTCCTTGACAAAGAAATCAGTTGCTGATGGCGTGCAGATAGGCAGCAGTTACAAGATCAATTATAAGAAGCAAAATTGCAAGAATGGGTTGCAGGTAAGAATATTATGATATAAACAAATTGTGTGTTTTTTACTAATTTTACCTTCTTCCCACATCGGATTAGGGTATATGGCAGCATTTGTTTCATAGAATGGATAAGCGTCATTGTCTTTTAGGCATTTGACACACAGGTTAGATTTTTCGATTTTCGCTTCATTCAAGTAGAGCACCAAGGTACCAGATTCTATTCATGAAGAAGCACACTTTAGCATGTTGAAGAATCTCGAAAAAGAAAAAAAAATTTAACCCTCGTTTAACTTACGACTCTGTACTGCATTGGTTTCCTTAGGATAGAATGTAGCTTCGTATGACAACTCGCCTCGTTGTTCCTTATTGATGAACAATTTTGCCGTTCTATAATAAGAATAATGTAAGTTCTATCGACTCGTATGTTCTAATGCGAGGTATGCAGAGAAATTCCATTGTAGACTCACTCAGTCAAAGTCCCATTGGACACATAAGTTCCGTCTTTGTTCTCTGTAGCAAGTTTGTTAACAGGCACTTCACATCTTCCCAATAACTGGCCTTTTTTTCTCAATTCATGATCAACGACTTCAAGAAGCACAGTTTCCCTGATTGAATGAACCGGAACATAAAGATACTCTTCTGACCAGACAGGATTCAAATTGTTATCTATAACCGCCGTTCGATCACGATATTTCGAGCCAAGAAGGGCTTGGACATAGGGATCGGACTTGCCTATATGAGAATGGACATTAGCACATTGAACCATAACACCACTTGGCTTAGTGAAATTGGTATTTACCTATGGCTTCTACATTCTTCAAGTCATTCGCAGATTTGATGTGGACCTTAACGACACCAATCGGATCGACTGCATTGACGTTATGAACCATGGTTAAACAAGCTTTGGCAATAAAAACCCAGAGCTTGCAACTCACCATATCCGGAGGCATTTGGCATGTAATCCATTAAAATGGGCTTCCATTCGCAATTCAATTTTATCTTTCCAGAATCAGCGTACATTAAATTAAAGGTATCTACTTTTGATTCCAAGCTCGTTAGCAGTGCTTTCAGTGGACAGCGATATACGCCGACTGCCGGATCCTCTGCGAAATCCCGTGCATCTCGAATGATCACACCCAGATGTGCCGACTGTTTGTTAGGTACGAATAACTCGATAATATCCTTCAAGTATTGGTAAAACGGTGTTTAAGGTAAGCAAAGTGTATGCACGCATATGAATAGGATAACGGAAGACATCAACTCGATACAGAATATAATATTTACATTCCAGGAAGGAGAGTTGCTTCGTTTGATTTTCTTCGTAGTATGGACAAGCTTCTTGTTGAAGTAGAGCTCCGCATACGGATTGTATTCACCCACTGTAGATTTTTGTGGATCCAAGTCTATAGCTTGATCGATTGTCAGGCGTATAATACCAACGTCTGCGTTATAATTAGTAAATTTTAAAATACATATTATATTAGTGACTACATTCTTCATGTATTGGATTTTTTAGAAATTTTATACATACTAGACTGTGGGATCGGCTGTTCAGGAACGCGCTCAGCCATTGGTAACCATTCAACGTCGAAGTAAATCTCGCCAGAATTAACATTGTCGAATAAAATAGGAGCAGTGCTATATAGAACTGGTTAACGTCGGAATATGACCAAGAACATATACCACAGAATAATAGTAGTATTCGGGGACATATAGAATCACATCCCCATATACAGTACTTCAATTACTCTACTTACATGGAATCCTTGGGTTTCGTAACCAAAGTCTCAAGCTTGAATGTGGCACTGCCCAACGTTTTATCTCGTCCGACGTTATCATCGTAAATTTCCAGGTGTAAATCGTCGATCAAATTATTCAATACGAGATAGTGAGTCTCGCTCCAATACGGAGACAACGTGTTCTCAATAACTCTTGTGCGAGCAAGCTCTTTTCTGAATGGTCCGACCGCGAATTTCACATAGGGGTCTGAAGTTCCAAACGATTCCATATTACGAATGTTGCGTGCATTGTGAAGAACCAATTTCAGGACACCAATTGCTGATTCTATATTAGCAGATAGATAGTCAATAACGAGTTTAGGGTAGAACCATGAGTTATGAATACAAGAAATATTGAAGACGTTATACAGTACCAACTGCAACTCCTTTCACAAGTGCACCGACGTCGATAGTAAATTCTTCCGGATAGTACATCATAGGCCTCAAATTTGAATGTATGGTATTATGGATAAAGCCTGACAATCCAGGAATCTAACATAGCAACCACAAAATGTTAGAACATGGCAACCTGTGGCATCAATAATCGTTTGCTAGCGAGCATATTCCCAATAAAATCTCACATCCAACTCTCCGCACACTGCCTCATCCCTAACACCCTATTACCACGTACAGTTTTAGTAATATCGAATCCAAAAGTTTCACCGCCAATCGGCTTCAACACAAAGTCCACCTTTGGCTCTTCCAAGAAACATAGGCGCACTGTATGTATATAGGGAAACTCCTCCGCCAAGCTCATTTTAATTTTCAGCTTTCCACGGAACGTCATATCCTCTACCAATATCGGTATGCCTGCTCCAACCACGCCACGTCCAACACGCGTAGTCAGCACAACTTTCGGTCTGATCTTTCTCTTCAATTGCTCTCTAGTCATATTTGCCGAATCATTTGGTTCGAATCCAAAATTCCAAACCATTTCGATCGTATTGTCTTCCACCTTCGTATATGTCAAAACATTCTCGACGCGAGGAGGTTTAGTGCCAAGTGTGAATGTTGTCAATCGAATAGAATCTAGAAAACCCGGTGTTGATGCAGCGAGAATGCTGTCTACTTGTTTAATGACCGTTGCCGAAAGAATTGGTTCGTAAATTAACCAAAAGCGTCGAATAAATTCGTTAAGCCATTCAATAGGTTCCTCTATTGTTTCTGCACTGAGTGCTAGATCACGCGCTGCATCGCTTCGAGCATCGCGAACAAATCGAGAGTAGGTAGTTCTGAAATAAGTTGCTGGAGTAGAAAAATTAGGATGAGGTTTGGTTAAACAAACGAGAGTATATAAAGCTCGAGGTATTTTGCATATGAAAGATAATCGCGCGCTTTCTTTCCACGTTCTAGCTGCACACTTTAATAAAATTACAATTCATCTGTTTGGACTAACCTACCAACAAATGCCAAGATGACAGTCAACCACACAATGCTAAAGCCGAAATACGCAATAAACCAAGTTGCAAAAAAGCTCACGAAAACAACAGCCGAGTTTTCCCACAAGTTACTATAATATAATTCCTTCAAAACGCTATCATAAACCTCAATCCCTGCTTCTTTCGATCCAGGATTGGCAACTTGTTTCCATCCGACTCGATACCACTTCGGAAACTCTACAGGCTTTGGTGGAGCAGCAGCTGCTGCTGCTGCAGGAGATTTTGGTATAGACTGTTCAGCAATTTGCGTCGGGTCAACTTTTGATTCACTAGAATCAGAGATATCGGTAATTACTCTCTTGCCGGCCGAAGTGTGACGATCGAGATCAGCATTTTTGGCTATCGACGCTTTTTCATTAGGTGAAGTGTTAGGGCGAAATTTATAGATATTCGTATGAGCCTCGTCATGAGCGAGTTCCTTGTTAAACTGCTCTGCATTTTGCTTGATTTCCTCTGCTTTCGCGGGTTCCATTATATCGGGATATAATTGACGTACTCACGAGTAAACAACAATTGGCACGACAATTGATGCTAAGAACGCTGACGATAGAAAGAATAATAACAGTAGATAAGTCTGTCGTTATTTGTTTTTAAATGTCGTAATGCATAAGTTGAATCGTAAAGGCTTTAATTTTAAGCCCAAGAAGAATGGCGATCTGTTTATCTCCATGAATTTAGCCAATGGGAATGTTCCACGCACAGCAACCAATATAATAACCAAATTACAAGATTGTTAAATTCTCACATTCGCCTAGTACTAATCGAGATCTATACAGCCACAGCCAAACATTTGGCCGTTATATAACAATTTGATGTCATAAAACTCTTGTCGTATTTAATGTTCACGTTACATGATTTCCCCAAGCAATTATCTCGTGGTCACGTATCAAGCACTTGACACTTGGTAGCGTACCCGTCTTACGCAACTGATTAACAATGGTTCTTCAATTGACTTTATTCCATGCTTCTGCTAAGTATAGTCTGTATTTTCATAAATCAGCTATTGTTTCGAGGTATTTACAAACAAATGGTTCTTTGCCACTCGGTTAGAATATTCGCGTACGTAATGAACATTATCATAGGTGATTTGCAATGGAGACACATTAATGTTAGAAATGTTTCATCGAATCCTATGCAGGGTAAAATATTTTACGCGATAACGTGCCCAATATGTGATATTTATTGTCGATATACTAAAAAAAAAAGAGCATAAGTCTTACATTTTTTTCCGAACTGTTAAATTTGGATTTGCTCTTTCAACTTCATTGTCGACCCGCCCAAAGCACCATGCTTTACCAAATAAGACATTTTTCTAATTCCTCAGCAATATCATTAATATCACTGCCCACAGAAAAATTTTGGTTATGACATAAAATAGTGAATAATATTCCATGGGCCTATTTCACCAGCGAACCGCCATCAACAGGGTGAGACAAAATTAACATGCTATACTCATATTGTCATTTTTATTCCTCGCCTTTTTATAAAATTCAATACAAACACAATGTATGTCCAGTCGACCGTAAAAATTGGACACAACACCAATTGCTGCTTCCACATGATATTATCTTTCCACACCTACACTATCTCTAGTCCTATACTAGAACAGTAGAAAACTCTAAATATGCGACAAGGCAGCATGATATAAGAGTCACGGTCAATCTTAATAGCTCTCGACCAAACTTGTTTATTCAAAGTTCACTACTCTTCTCAAAAGGTGCTTCAGCCGAATAGAGGCACATAATAATAGTTAGTTTACGAATGATTAGTATTAGGGTAATTTAAACACTAGGTAAGATTAAAGAGAAGGAAATTAAAGAGTGGAGATTTATTATCAGCAAGAGTTATCACCCATAAAAACCGAAATTAATGGTAGCGGATCAGTATATGAGGGAGAGCGTTCGTATATCGACTTTGAGATCTAGCTTTCCTAACGAGGCCTTTGACTACCTCTACTTTCACTAAACCTACAAACGACAATTAGTGACCTTAAAATTGAGTTTCGACGCACGACCGAACCTCGAGTTCGTACGTTGATGTAATTATTTCAAAAGCCCGTAGGTCGGGTATTTTTCTCTAAACCAACGCCTTGTAATAATCCAGAATATAAATAAGTAATAAAAGACGGACTGGATGTGCTGAGGATACTGATTGTTAGGGAAACTACGATCGCTTACATATCTTTCTATCGTTTCACTAAACTAATTGCTTGGCGATGTCAAGAGTTTCGGCCTAATTTATGATACGCTGTCACGAATTCCGCAGCTTCTGCGCTTGTATTACTCAATTCCACCGGAATACGTTATACTCATGTTATGCTCAATCCTGCAATAGTTAACGAACCCATGTTAGACAATGTATTGGAATGAATTGACACAGACTGATGTACTTGAATTAAGAAATAATGGAGCAGACTATTTGATGCTTGGCCAATATGAAAATGTTTTATTAAATCTTTGGAATATGAACCAGATAATGCATTAACATTGGAGCTAATAGCAGATGCTCACTACACACTTATACTCAATCAGCATATAAAAAATTACCAAATTGGTGATATAAAGGCAATATTTTTAGCAAAGGCTTTGCAATCAAATTCTTCTTTATTTCTTTGAACCTTGATAATAATGAGATTAAATGTACAGGAGCAGCAGCTTTGGCAAAGGCTCTGGAACCAAATTCTTCCCTGACTTCTTTAAATCTGCATAACAATGAGATTGGAGACACAGGAGCAGCAGCTTTGGCAAGTGCTCTAGAATTAAATTCTTCACCAACTTGTTTGGATCTTAATTATAACCAGATTGGAGGTGCAGGAGCAGCAGCTTTGGCAAAGGCTCTGGAATCAAATTTCTTTGGATCTCAAAAAAAAAATCAAATTGGAGATATGGGAGCAGCAGCTTTGGCAAAGGCTCTAGAATCAAATTCTTCACTAACTTCTTTGGATCTTAATTATAATCAGATTGGAGGTGCAGGAACAGCAGCTTTTGTAAAGGCTCTAAAATCAAATTTTTCTTTGATGTTTTTATCTTTATATGACACATTGCCAAACTGGGGGTTTTGAGACAGAAAACAATTGGATTCAGAGCTTAATTCTCCTTTTTTTATCTAAGTTTAGCCTCGAAATTTTTAGGGTTTAGAGGTTAATTCGCTATTTTTTAGTGAAATTGATGACAGGTTTGCATTTTCATCGTGCATAAAATTAGCTTAAAACATCCCAAATATGAAAAATAAGTCTAACCTATAAATTTTAGGATTTAGGCGTTAACTTCTAATTAACAATAAAAATGATGACAAATTTGCATAGACGTCGTCACTCTGGCATAAAATTAGCTTAAAACGTCTCATGCAAAAATGGGTCTAACCTCTGTTCTTGCCGTACGGCATAAAAATAAGCTTAAAACCTTAGACGGCAAAATAAGTATAAACCTTCCCGAGATTTGATATATTCTCCCCTATTGTAGCCGTTGAGTATTGTAGGAATCATTGTCTAAATCAATCAAGTCATTATCGAGTAAACATGTATATTTGGTATCCTTCTGTTGTGTCAATTCTCGAGATAGCGATTCCCCTTGAACATTTCTTTCGTTGTCGAATAATAGTAATCAGTAGTGATGGCTTGACTTGACGGTGTTAATCTTTGTATTAATAATTTTGTAAACTGTCGGTGGTTTGTAGTGTGGAAAGGGCCAGTTGGCGTAGGACCTTAGGCCAGACCAGGCGATTCGCGGTTGGTACAAAAGCTTATTTTCGGCGTAAACATTTAGGCGCTGGGGTTTTTGGACAAGCGCGTGGACGTAACCTGTGCATGTGGCTTTGGCGTTAGTAATAGATTTACGACGGTAAATGGTTTTTGAATTTGACGGATAGTGTCGATTTTTATCTGTATCACGCCGTCATCAACTGAAAAGGTTAGTAACGCATGGAAGTAAAATCCTCGAACAACTACCTGCGTTTTCGTCCTGAAGATACAGATCACCAGGTGACTGTAAGGTAGTGTGTCCATTGTATAGTTCCGAACTAGGCTCTTACTACTCACGATCTCAGTGTCGATGCGTAAACACAAATTCTAGACGGTTATTCACCTTCGAGTTA